ATTCTAGATTCTGTCAAGCTGACAATTAACACTAGCCATCACAAATGCTTTGTTCAATGTTCACCAACTCTATCTTGGACCAACATATGGTACTAAAAGTTACAAAGAGGGTTGCAGGATTACTAAAACTTGGTGGCATTTTAATTTTATGCTTTAAGACTCAAATTGTAGAAAAGCATTTGTATGTTCACTGGCAACAGACTCGCAATTTTTTTGCGTCCATATGCATCCATAACTCCTTATGTTAAAATTGCACACTAACAAGTGTGTATAACTGCAATGCACTTAGATTAAACTCCTGAGATTTATTTGTCATGATGAATAAAGTAAGTGTATCTAAAGACCACGAAGTTTTCTCTGTAGATTGATTATGAAATTGTTCTTTTGAATTAAACTCTTTGTATTTCTTCTATGATTTGATATGAGGAGGAATGAAATTGCCTCTCCTTGAAATTATTTCCAGTTGATAAAACTCCAAGGGGTTCCTACAAGCTAAAAGGACCATACCAGCATGTGCTCGCTATCTTTAATGACTTTTATGTTTTCCATCCTTTCTCAGAAGCACGGAAACTTTCAAAGGAACACTGTAAAACATGGGGGCAAAACTCACATACTTATATGCAAATCAAACTGACCCTGCGGTATCAGTCTGAATGTGTGTTCCCCTCTCAGGTACCTTTCTCTTCTGTTAGGGTCAGGCACGGATACCTATGATATACATGGCAGAAAAATTTGCCCAGCTTCCACATGCAGGCAAGAAATTCAAAATATAGAAATTTAATTTCATTGCAGGAATTGGAAATAATTCAGGTTAGAGAGACCTCTGGTGGACATTTATGGTCACATCTGAATGAAAATCACACACACACAAAACGATGCAAAATGTGTTTTGAACATCAGGGCTATATAAAATATTATTTTCTAAAAATAAATAAAACACTTAGGAGATGAAAATATAGCACAGCTGAAGTAGCCACTTCAGAACAAAGGGTTAAGTCTGAGTGATTATCCACAAATATCTGCCGAGTATTTTTTCCTTCACCACTCTGCAAAATCAAACTATAAACATCAAACTATAAAAGCCAGTACAAATGAAATATGTTTTTATCTATTTTATTTCTTATTATGTAAAAATCCTACTTTAAATTAATTAAAGTATAACCTGCACATAAGTCACTACTTTATTGCCATTCATAATCAAAACTGAACTCGCTGACGGCATGGAAAATGCTGGAAATGAGCAACAACCAATCAATCAAAACTATTTTCCATCACACCCTTTACTCTATGTTTTCCAAGACATTCTCAGACATAATAAAATTAGCAGACTGAGCAGTCATAAAAATCCAAGTCAGAGAATTAAGTCCTTGCCTTGCCCACAAAAAAAAACTAGAAGTAAATGGAGTAAAATACAATGCACCTCCCATACCTGGCTGTACCCTTGGCAGACATTTCCTTCCCAAAAAAGTGCTGTGCTCTATACATCGTGTTTATAGTCATAAAGGAGCCTGGAGAGTTTTAAATCTATAAGGACATTACAAAATCGAATGTCCATTTATTTCTGTATGTTTATTAAAAGTACAATTCCCATTTTTTCATGTTGTAATACTGTCTACACAGTTTAGTTCTTAATTACTTAGTAATTGCCTATCCATGACTAATCACAGTCCCTTTACAATTGCAAGCTCTTTGAAAACACAGAGAACATCTTGCTGACTTTCCACACCTCTCTATTAATGTTCCTCACCCTTCTCCCTGTGTTGTGCAATTTTAGTATTTCCTTACATGGGCCTGACCTCCTCTCCTTCCTGACTTCCTTCTAAGGCTCCATGGCAAGGTTTCCAAAGTGGTGGCCTCAAGAATAGATAAAACAGCAAGCTGGGCTGTGAACCCTTGAGTCCTGGGTCTTAATTCTGACTTATTACCGTCTTCCTCTGAGTGCCTATCTTTTCCTTTCACTCTGCTTCTCTTCAGCTATGCAAATTTCAGCCGATTTCATCTGTGAATAGGAACTACTTCTCAGAGCCAATGATCTCAATCCAGTTATTTACTTGGGCCAAAAAAGTTGAATTGTAATCATAAATAAATTCATTCATTCAGATTTATGCACCAGGCTGACATTTTCTTCCATTAAGGATGAAGCAAAAACATAGAGTAGTGAGAGTGTTATTGATTTTTGTTACCACCTACAGGAATTAACATTTCCATTTCGTGTTTTAACTGTGATGCCTTCTTCTGATAGCACCATTTCATTATCATAATCATTGGAATTGCTACTAAATATTAGTGTTTTGAAAGAAAGGAAAAGAGACAGGGTGGGGGCTAGCAAGGGGGAACTTGTGGGTAAAAGGAGATGAAGCAGGAGGAGAAGCTACAAGAAAACACATTTGTTTTGAAAATGTCAAAATGGTATGTGATGTCTTGTATTCTAATTTTTTAAAAATTGAGAACTTGTTAAAGCTCACATCACATCATTCATAAATTGTTTTTCTTTTGATATGCTGATGTTATACCAATGTTTGGACTTTGTTTCCCATGTTTGCACATAATCTGAGAAGGGCTAGTGAGGCTCCTTCAGAAAGCGCTAGGTGAGGTTAAAGAGAACAGTTTGACTCCTTTCATATTCTAAAGGGATGCACGGGCTGAGAGGCCTAACTCAGCTTCTTCCTAGCCAAGCAACCTTATGCTTCTCAGCTTCTATTTCTCTTCTGAAACAAGGAGAGTGGTTTTGAGAGTTTCCTTCTGACACTAGGAATTCACGGAAACCTAGCTGACCCAGAATGTTAACAAACAATCTCTGCTTCGAGGATACTTACTTCCCAAGCTCTCTTTCTTTCTTCTTGGTGTATCTTCCATACAAGAAAAACTTCATACATTTTTTAAATTTTTATTTACAGGCTGATGATTATACACTGACACTCCCTCCCATATAGTGACTTCCAAGATTGAAGCTATAGAAAATTCAGGGAAGCTTGTAAGGACCCTGTGTCTACTCCCCACCGAGTTATTCTTCTTCTCTTCAAGACAACTCCACTGACATCTCTCACCTCAGTTTACTTTTGCCTGATGTACTTTATAGAAATGAAATCATACAGAAAGTGTCTCTTGTATCTAGCCTCCTTCAGTGATTACTCTGTTTATAACAAACAATCAAATAAATTTGTGTGTGAGCAGTTTACTCTATTTCAGTCCTGTGTCATGTTCTGTGGCTATATCCCAGTTGATTTATCAGTTCTGCTGTGATATGTAGTTTTCTTCTCTCCATTATTGATGAATATGCTACGAACATGTTTGTGTATATGTTCTGATAGACATATGCATGCATTTTGCTGTAGTTCAGAGTGCATACAATTTTTACTGATGTGAGTTTGGAAAAATGATTTCCTAAAGTCACTGTGCATTTTTAGCTAGGTGTATGCCATTATCCTCATTACTAATACCCAGTGTTTTCAACCTTTCTGTTCCCATCCATCCAGTGGATGCACAACAGACTGTCATGGTGGATTTAATTTTCATCTCTCTTGTGCATACTGATACATAAAGAATAATTGGGAAAGTAAAATAATTGGGAAAATAAAACCAGCTGCCACTGTCCTCAATGTTTTTAGTTTATGTCCATATTTTAAAAGTGCCAAAAGGGCTGGAGAGATGGCTTAACCATTAAAGGCTAGGCTCACAACCAAAACAACAAGAAAAGTATCAATGAATTAAACATATAACATATAATTGCCCAATTTTAATTCAGGGCTTTGAAGAAGTCTCTCACTCAATGGATACACACAATTAAATTAAGTCTTAGATGATGGCGAAATGTTAGAAACTTTCAATAGTTTTGAGTGATGTCTGTGATTAATGCACAGGATGGGAAGTGATGGTTGTTTTAATTGATTGTTGTAATCATTGCACAATGTACACATTTATCAAGGCTTTACATTGTGCTTGTTGAATATATAAAGCTTTTATTTGTCAAATATTTTCAAATTTAAAAAGAAAATAGCATTGAAAAATGTCTCTTCTCTGAACGTGATAGGACCACTGTACTCATGAACTCTCTAGCTGTGGTTGCCTGGAGAAAGCTTCACAAGATCAAGCTAATCAAAATTTCAACATGGTTGTCAGGGTCGGGATAGGGGCCTGAAAATGAGCTCCCACCCACAGCTGAGGAACTATTAACAGTTGATGGCCACAAGTTTTCTTAGGGGTTTGTCGCTGATATGTTGAATATACTCTAGTTGATGACCCCACACCCGTGAGTATACAGCAGTAGTGATTAGACTCAGTGGGTTATTAAAAACTAAACAAAGCAAAAGACACGAAATTATGATACAGATATAAGGAGGATTCAGGTGGGTGGAGATTCAGATGGATTCAGATGGAGAGAGGAGATGGGTATAAATTTGGTTGAAATGCATTATATGCAAGTATGAAATTCTCAAAAAGATATCAAAATTATATTAAAGGAAAAATGAGGATTATAATTTTGAAGTAAGTACAATAGTAAATTCTAAAACATCAAATATTAAATATATATGTAGATACAACAAGTATTTTTTAAAGTGGAACTGGTAGAGCTGGAGAGATGGCTCAACAGTTAAGAGCACTGGCTGCTCTTCCAGAAAACTCAGCATCAATGTGAGAACCCAGATGGCAACTCACAATCATCTTTAGCTCTAGTCCCAGGGTGTCCAACACCTTCCTCTGGCCTCCACAGGCACGGCACACAAATCATACACAGACATCCAAGTAGGAAAAACACTCATACACATAATAAAAGAAAGTAAAATAAAAACAAAGAACAGATCATAGGTGGATTCTATCAAAACTATTTCAATAAAATGGCTGTCCTCCTACCTTGCAGTCTACTATCTTGGTTCACATTCCAGGATGCAGACACCTACATTCTTCAATTTAGGAAGTAATTCCTTGGTGGTGATTAACTGTGACTGGGAGAAGATATTCATATAAAAGAATTGTCTATGTAAATGTGTTTCCTTCCTTTTAGACCTATGGCACCAAGTCTCTTTGGAAGGTGACTATTCTCTGCCAATACTCAGTACCATGATTGTTCTTCCTCGGTAAGTCCTGAGTGTCTACCCACCCTGCAAGCTATCATTATTATATCAAGGACTAACAGACCAGCAGTTCTTGAGTGATTAAATATACTCTCTTGCTCTGGCACCAGTCAAGGACATTTTCATTGCTTGCTGCCAAATATTAGTCAGCTTTTTTAGGTTTGAGGGGCTATCTGCCAGCTGAAGTGGTTAGCAGTAGAAGAAATCAAATCTAAATTAAATGTGGGCATATTTTTGGAAATCCACATTTCTATATGAATGTGCAGCCTGACAAGACTTATACAACAAAAAAATAACTATAAGCTGAAATATGGATGACAAACCTGCTGGTGATGATACTTAGTACAATTCAAATGATAATTGCTTTTTTTAACAATCGCATAATGTTTATCACCATTAAACCATTTATTTCTCTTCACTGAATGAAATTTTCTATAACAACACCTGTGATAAATTGGCATGGGACTAATGCATCGCTAAAAACATTGTTTCAGTTCACATTATCCATGCCCTGGTTTGTCTGCAATGATTGTGTCTATACAGTGATTACTAATTGAAACACTTCTAAAGTACCAAGATTTAATGCAGTGAGTACCTACTCTATCATTTATGCTAAGCAAAAATTCTTTGTGCATATACAATCTACACAAAATAGCCTCTGTCTCTATGATAACAGTTTGAGCCACTGTGTTCTGTTCAATTTAAAACACCATCCATTTAAATAAACAGATGTCTTAGAACATAAAAATTATAAATCTCTAGTTAGCATCAAATTGATAAGCTATTTTAAGTTTACATCTTGAGAATTTAAGATGCTCATGTCGAAGTTAGAAGGTGATAGCTCTTCTGGGCTACGTTATATATCATTAAAACAAAAATATAGAAATCAATTAGTGACCCAAATATAAAAGAGTTTTTCACAAGCCTTCACACAAAAACACATTTCAGTATTATTGATACATAGTATATATATATATATATATATATATATATATATACATATATATACATATATATATGATTCAATGTAATACATTGATATATACAGACATAGTAGAAGAAGGAAATATGCTAACTAATGTGGTGATATTTTATTTGTGCTGAAATGTGGTGACATTTTATTTGTGATTTAATAAAGCTTGTCTGGAGATCAGGTGGAAAAGGCCAGCCATTTTAACTAAACAGAGATGTCAGACAGCACATGCCCTTAATCTGATCACTTAGCAGACAGTCTCTGTGTGTTCAAGGCCATACTAAGGAACAGAGGCAAGTGTGGTGACACATGCCTTTAATCCCAGTACCAACCATAGAGACCTGGAGGTCTGTACAGAAAACAGTGGCAAGGAAGTGAGGTAGCTGGGCTAAGAGCCAATGAGAGGGCAGAAAAGCAAGGTATATAAAGGCATGGGTAAACAGGAAGTAGCTCACTTTTGGAAGCTGCAGAGTTGGTGAGGTAAGGTTGGATGTTGGCTTTCCCTATTTCCCTGATCTCTCTAAGACTTTCACCCCTATATTTGTCTCCATATTTTTTATTTAATAAGACTGTTTAGAAATTCATCTACAAACTAAATGTTACTTGCTATAATCCTTTCTGTTCTTGAACAATTAGGTGGTCCTTATGACATCTAACCCTGATTTTGGCTGGCAACAATCCAGGACTCAGGGGCACGTCCATCTATCAGCACTAAGGACTATGTAAGTTCTTCCTTGCTGTGTCTTTAGTGTCTGCTTTCCCCATCTGCAAGTGAGAAGTGTTGTATCAAGGACTAACAGACAGCAATTCATTAGTATTTAAAAATACCCACTTGTTCTGGTAGTAGTCAAGTATGCTTCCATTACAGCCTCCCAAATATTGGTTGTGTTCCTGAATTACTAGGAGAATTTAATGGTGGCCTTGGGAACTGGAATAAAACCCACATTTTTCAAAAGTTTTATCCCCTCTAGATAACATGATTTTAAAAAAATACCACTTACTTAAGAAATTGTATTTATTGCTCTGTATGGTGGCACACACCTGTAATCCCAGTACCAGAGAGGTAGGAGAAGAGAGATTTTGAATTCAAGGCCTGCCCCAATTAAGTAGAGAGACTGTGACAAAGAAAGGGAAATATATTACCTATAGAAATTATTGGAAGAGCCGGGCGGTGGTGGCGCACGCCTTTAATCCCAGCACTCGGGAGGCAGAGCCAGGCGGATCTCTGTGAGTTCGAGGCCAGCCTGGGCTACCAAGTGAGTTCCAGGAGAGGCGCAAAGCTACACAGAGAAACCCTGTCTCGAAAAAAAAAAAAAAAAAAAAAAAAGAAATTATTGGAAGAACTGTGAGAAGAAGAAATCTACATGAACTGTCTAAGGAAAACATCATGAAGTTATATCTGGCAGTGAGATAAAAATCTTGTTCCTTTCAGCTCTATATTTGTGCCAGAAACTCACTAGATATTCAGAAGAGAATTGTTGGATTGTTTATGTTTAGAATTAGCAATCTACAACTCGTAGGGCCTCCCTAATTGTTATAAAATCATATTGAAGTTAATTTTTTGTAAGTCTGCAAGTGGGGAGGAAACCAAGGACCTGTTAGTCAGGACTGGGAGCTTAGGCTTTCAACCCAGGCATCTATGGTCTTAAATGCTGATTCCGTGTTTAGTAGAAGCTAATCAGAACCATTTTCTTTGAGTCCTTTCCATCTCTTATTTTCCTCCCCCGTCTCTCCATGAATCCGTACTCTGCCTCTGGTCACCTTCTCCATGTGCAGCAGGTATTCTCACCCTTTACTTTATTCTATTGCCGGAGTCACTGTTTTTCATCCCCTCCAGTTTCTGTCTTCATAGGTGGTTTTCTAAAAAGAAAAAGAAAAAAAAAGAAGGCAAGAGTGGGGAAGCAAGCTGGAGAAATTGCTCAGTGATCACGGGTATTAGCTGTCCTCCTAGAGGAGCTGAGTTCAGTTCCCAGGACCCACATTGGGCTGCTCACAACCACCTGTAACTCCAGCTATAAGGGATCAGTCCCAGTGGATCTGTATATTGTGTTTCTACTGGACAAGAGGACTAACACCTTTGGAATTCCAAAGTTATCTAATATGCAGACAGATGTTTGTCATGGGGGTCGTAATCAGATCATATGGAAGTCAAGGAAAGAAAATTTGCCGAAGGAAGGAGGGAAGGAGAAGCTGAAAGGTATGTCAGTAGAGGCTGAAACAGTAAACAAAAGTCCCAAAGAGTCAGATAAAGGAAGGATGGATGGGCATCAATCCAAAGTCAAATTTTAATAGGTATTATGGTAGAAAAATTTATTTGGTAAAGATGAATAAAATAGTGTTAATAGCAATTGTAAAGGGTGGCTGGAGAGATGTTTAAGTGGTTAAGAGTACTTGCTGCTCTTCCAAAGGACTGAAGTTCGAATCCCATCACATACCTAAGACACCTGACAACCACCTGTTTTCCAGCTTCAGGGGATCTGAGACCCTCTTCTGGCCACACACACATGCACATAAAATAAAATAAATCTTTGAAGATAAAAGTTCTGTGTTGCAAGCAGAAAATGAAGGAGTGAAAGGAAAGGTCATTCACTAAAACTAGTAAAAAATAAATGTCAGCCATACAGAGGAGCTCATAGCTGATGAGAGCAGTTTTACAGAGAGATGCCATGAGAGGGGACACACTGACTTCATTTTTCCTCCCCTTCTACAATGTCCTGGAAGTCTTCCATTGTGTTAACTAAAAGGAAGGCACACAGTAAAGGAAACCTTTGAGATTATGTACACAGGTAAGCCCTCCGAGACAAAGTGGTACAAAAAGACACAGAATGACTATTGAAGGGCAAATAGGACACATCTGGCAGAGGGGAACAATTATTTTATGCAGTGCTAAATCTTCCAGGACAGCGCTTAATTTCTGTACATATGGTGTCAGCCCCTCATGCATGCAGGTACTGAGCAAAAATATCCATATCTGCATGTCTTACTTTGGAATGAACTCACGACATTGAAATGTGAGTCCATATTTTACGGCAGCTAATAATAATAAAGTCACAATCCATGTCAAACACAGTTCATATCATCTCCCCAAGCCTTGGACTGACTCCCCCATCCATAATAGCTGTGGAGCAAATGTGTTGATTCCATAAGTAACTGCAAATGAAAAGGCTCTCCTTGGCTGACTCTCTACAAGGCTCCTTTGCTGTTCGTGAGCAGTTGTACACGTGTTTTTCCCATATAAATTCTCTGAAGAGTCATAGTTAGATGTCCCTGTCCCTAGTCCAGTTGAGAAACTGCTAGAACACCCTGAAGCCGTAAGTGGCCGGCACAAAGACATATTGCAAACTGCTACCAGGGTGGTGATTCAAATTTCAAGTTCCTGACTTAGGCTTGGGCAGATTGACTTCATCCAGTCTCTAGAGAGAGATCACAGCTGGACTGCAGAATGCAGCCAGACCTGGCATAACCTCAGCTTCCTGAAGGATTTCCCATGGGAATCCAGCACTCCCAGAAGAGGGAGCCTCTGACTGGGCTAATTACCCAGATCCAGCCCAAGCATCTGGCAGCAGAGTCGCCTTCCCAGGAGATAACCCAGTGCTTTGCTTCATTTCTGCTTCCTTTGCTTCTATTTCTTGGATAAAGTCACACACGGATCTGCAGCTAAACACATCGCTGTTTAGGGGAAATCACAAATTAATGAAATGTGCGACCATGCTTATTACTACATAGGAAATGTGTTGTACTGGCGAGCAGAAATGCCAAGGTGATTACAGATAATAGAATCAGGGCTCCCCAATGTTTCCTACAAACTGTCCTCATTCCCCTTGTCACAGAATGTTCTGCCATTGAAAACTTCAGAGGCTGGAGATCCGTAACCTAGTGATACTCGGCCAAGAGCTAATCTCCGTCATTATCTGTCATTATTGCCTCTGGAAATGTCTCCATTTAACATTTGATACCTCTTAACACGAGCCTTGTGATTTCCTTGCTTCTATGTCAAAATAATTTTAAACAAAAGAGTGGAAAAATCCCATCAGGATACTGCCCAGACATCTGTGCCAGTCAGGAGATCAAAGGTGCTGACTTGAACTTTTGAAAGAAAAAAAGAATGAGCAGATGTTAATAGGCAAAGAAAGAAAGCATTTTCCACTAGGAATGAATATGTTCACTTTGAATTTATTCAATGAGAGTTGATTCTGACCTTTGAAGAACAGGCACACTTTTAAAACAGCTTCCTGTGTATGTTTATTATTAAAAGTAAAAGGAAATTAAGTGAATTTAAAGTCTCAAGAAGGTTGTAGTCTAGTGGGAAAGACCATTCTTGGTCATCAGACTCATTGCCAGCTTATTAACTCCATTCTACATCTTTATGTCTTCTGGCACAGAGTGAGCAAACACAGACAAAACTGTCCAATGAGAATCTTAGAATGTCCTTTAGACCACAGAGGCTAAAGTTTCTAAAACGAAGAACACACATTTCCAGGGCAGATGTTATATGGTGTGTCCTGGGAAGGCATGAACAAGTATCTATTTACTCCAAATGGAGCACAGAGGACAACTAGATGAAATCATCCCACTTAAGTTTAACTTGAAGAACCAATGCATTATTGGGTTTACTTATAGGAGCATGGGTAACTCAAAGGCAGATGCATCACCAGAAAACCCAGAATGGATGATGAATTATGAAAGCTGCACCCTTGATGCTTGCTACCCAACCTTCAGGTATCTCCACTAGATAGTTTCCTCCCAGCAATTATTTGTTGCTTTCTGAGAAGAAGCCTTGTGAATCCTGGGACCTCATGAGTTTCCTGAGCCCTGTATGTTTCATTTCTTTTGTAAGTTTTATGAGTCTTCCTCCTTATAAGAGGAACTATTTCAACTGGGAGGAAATAACTCCAGAACAGTATATTCCCAGACATGATAGAAACTGGTATCACATCTTTGACTCTTTGGTAATGACCCAGGAAGTCTACCTTCATTCGTTATCTGTTCCTATAACAAAATACCAAGGCACAGGTAATTCATAAAGACAGGGTTTAATTCTGGTTCAAGGTTCTAGAGATCCAAAACTATGGCACCAGCATCTCTTGGCTTTTGGAGAGAGCCTCCTGGTGAAAAGGCATAAAGACACATGCAAAGAGAGGGGCACATGTGGGGAAGGAAGCAAGAGTGGGTATATAATAACTGCCCCGCTTGATAATCCAATCTGGGAATAACTAACCCATTCTCTCAGGAACTGAATGAATTCCTCCATGGAGACACTGTGAAGTACTTACTTGTGAAGGTGTCATCACTTTCAAATATCACTGCCTTGTCTCATCAAGAGGTTTGTTGGGAAGGGAGCATGTTTAAAGTACAGTGCTACCCACTGCTGTCATAGCGTCAGTGCAGTTTATTTAGCATGTGTACTATGTCCCAGGGAATAGTCCCCCTCGTTCCCATGGAATTCTTTGATGTTCCTTTTCCCTTGGTGAGTTATTTCATCACTCATCAGGTGGTGGCTGTAAGTGCATGTGATGGATACAGCAGTCATCTGGTTATGACATGTTACTTCACTGGCAAATGGCTGACTTTAGCTCAATACACTAATCATAGTTCTCTTTGACAACATCCAGCATTTTTCTTCTTAGAAAGGAGTTGACTATTCTTGACTATGTGCATATATGTGTAATTTTAAAACCAGTCTACTCATTAACATACACATATGGACTGCTACAATCTAAATAAACTATTTGAATTCATGGATCAATTTTTTAAAAATCAACATCATAACAATATTGAGTTGTCCAGCACATAAGCATCATACAACTCTTCATTTACTTAGATCTGCATTTTCTCTCAATGTCATTTCTATAGAGGTTTTACACACACAGACACACATACACACACAAACACATACATATTTATATATAATACTTTGCAGATTATTTTGTGTTTTGTAAACAAAGGTGTGTGATGTATAGAAAATTACAATTTTACATCTTTCTTTTTTACACATTTCTTCCTTAAAGTAAGTCCCTGACATGGATCACAGGAACAAGGATGAATGAAACCAGCGAGAATGAAGATAAGCATTTTTGTAATATGCTGAAAGGAAGTGCAAATATATCACCAGTAAGTATGATGTTTGCTAAAATTTTAAGTTCTGTTTTAATAAAAATCACCATAATGAACTTACAAATAAAGCCACCCCATAACTAGATGAAAGTATCCACTCAAAACAAACCTTCGTCCAGTCCCTACTTCTATACATCTCTGTGAACGTCCACAGTTAGAGCAGCCATTCTAAAGCAATGAAGCTTCACTTAGAGTTTTACACTTTCCCCATCAATTACATTTTTATTCACTTTACCATCAGAAAAATAAAAAAGCCACAACTGATTATTTTTATTCTTAATTGAGTGCATTTATTTATTTATTATGTTTGTATGTGGGTGCACAAATGTACACATGACCCAGCACATGTGTGGAGATATGGAGAGTACATATAGGCATTGATTCTCTCTTTCCACCATGTGAGTTGTGGGGGATCACGATACCACGAGGCATGGCAAGAAGCCCCTTTACCCTTTAAGTCATTCTTTTGGTTTTCAATCAGAATTTTTAAACATGAACATATGTTAAAATCTTTTCAGGTAGCTTATCCTTTGAGAATGTCTTATTAGGTTTTTTTTCCTATTACTTCTTTTTCATTGAAATATATTGATTTTTAAAATATAGTATAAAATCTTGGGGGAAGCTTTTCTGAATGTACCATAGGACACAACTATATGAGATTTCTAATCCTCCAAGCTCTGAAATGAATATTAGGATATTTAATATCTGTGAAGGTCATACATAATAAAGAGCAAGAGAATAAACCATAGTTCAAACCTGGACCCAATTTTTTATCTTGAACCCTTACACTATGTAGTATTAAATGTTCACATTTTCCTTTTAGTTAACTTCAGTTGTCAACTTGACACAGGAAGAGAGAACCTCTTTTGAGGAATTGCTTTCAGAGGACTGGCCCATGAGCATGTTTGTGGAGCATTTTATTGATTGTTAACTAATGTAGGAGTTTCCAGCATAATGCAGACAGTAGCATTCCTAGGTAAGTGGGTCTGGGCTATATAGGAATGGTAGCTAAGCAAGACAGGAAAGCAAGCCAATAAGCAGTATTCCTCCGTTGGGTTCCTGATTGGCTTCCAATGATGACAGATTATAACCTATGAGTTTAAGTAAGCCCTTTCTTCATAAGCTGCTTTAGTTATTGTGTTTATTCTAGAACCAGAAATCAGACTAGAACATTCCCCATGTATACAACAGTGGATATTTGCCAACTCCTGCACTTTGGACTTTGACACATAGCTTTGTTAGGCTAGTATAAGGTCATTTATCCTAGCTGGAAGTGAAGTCATACAAATTTTGTTTTTTATGCCTATGAACTTTTACATACCTTTTGGTAAGAATATAAAACCATTCCTTCAGATACAAAGTTGAGAATCAAATCACTGTTATAAGATGTGTAAATACTAAAGTTAATGCCATTTTTTTCTTGTAGTGTAGCTACATAATCAGCAAACCCTGGTTTATTTTTCTTCTTAAAATGTATCTGTTAACATTACTCATTAATGCACACAGAGGGAGTTCTAGTGTTTTTGTTATAATAATATAGATAATAGTGCTTTTAACCATCTCGCTTCTCTGTTTTTGTACATATGAAAGAATTTTTCTTGGGCATGTGCACACAATGGAAATGCCGAGTTATTTAGGTATATGTATAGTTAAAATCAAATAGCAATACCACATTGCTTTCTAAGGTATCCTAGCTTTTTATTCTGTACATGTTTAGTTTTGTTTTATTTCAATTCAACATTCTGCTATATGACTCTTTATATTTTCCATTCATCATTGGCATTTAATTTGCTTTAAGCAATATTACTGTTGTTCGTTTGTTTCTCCTTTCCTCATACTTAGGATATTACATCATACCTAGTGCTCACTCAATAAATATTCAACTAAATCAGTGCATTAAGCAAATTAAGGAACTCATGGAAAAATTTGAAGAGGGAATGATAATTAATTTTACTTCTAGCATGAGTAAAATGCCAATCTAAACAACTAAGAATTTCAGAGCAAAATCCACACTTTGTTTAAAAACAATAAAATAGTTTGCAGAACAAGTTGTTAGAGCCTTTAGTATAAAATAAGAATATGTTCTGAGGAAACGGAAAAGCCAGCTTCGCTAGGAGTAACTTCCCAATCCTAATTATCTATGCAAATGAGGGAGAGCTATCATGTTTATTCTTTTATTTTATTTAAGAAATGATTCCACTCATTCCACATATCAACTACAGATCCCCCTCCCATCCCTCCTCCTGCTCCCCTCTAGCTTCCCCCCACAACCCACCCTCCAGCCCTTCCTCCAAAAGGGTAAGGGCTCCCATGGGAAGTCAGCAAAGCCTGGTACATTCAGTTGAGGCAGGACCAAGCCCCTCTCCTCTGCATCAAGGCTGAGCAAGGCATCCCGCCATAGGTAATGGGCTCCAGAAAGCCAGATAGACTACTAGCAATAGTGGAGATGGTACCTGAACTGGCCTCCCCTGGTAATCAGAATGGTGAATACCTTAACTGCTGTGGATATCACTCTGTATGCTGTGAATGTATTGCTCTGATTGGTTAATGAATTGTTGATTGGCCAGTAGCCAGGCGGGAAGTATAGGCAGGACAAAGAGAGAGGAGAATTCTGGGAACAGGAAGGCTAAGTCAGGAGACACTGCCACCTGCCACCATGAGAAGCAAGATGTAAAGATACCGGTAAATCACAAGCCACATGGCAAGGTATAGATTTATAGAAATGGGTTAATTTAAGATGTAAGATCTAGCTAGCAAGAAGCCTGAGCCATTAGGCCATACCGTTTTAATTTATGTAAGCTTCTGTGTGTTTACTTGGGGGATGATAGTGGGAGAGATTTGTCCTGACTGCTTGCTGGCTGGGACACAGGAAAACTTCAACTACACCTAACTGTCATTATAGAGCCTTCATCCAGTAACTGATGAAAGGAGATACAGAGATTCACAGCCAAGCTACCAGGCTGAGCTCCTGGAGTCCAATGGAAGAGAGGTAAGAGATAATCTATGAGCAAGGGGCATCAAGATCATCATGGGGAAAACTACAGTGACAGCTGAACCTGGTTCTTAGGAACTCACGAAATTCAGGTGTACAGTAATATTTCAGGGCCAAACAAGAGCTTTCCAACAGACAATCTGACAAGAAGATGAGTTACACACACAGGAAATAGCTTGATATTTGTTTCATTATGTATTCTTAACCCACTCATCTCTATATAAAATTATTTATGGATTGGGTATATAGTTCAGTGACAGATCATTTACTTAGCATGTAGAAGAACTTGGATTCAATCCCTAGCACCAGAAAAAGGAAGCACCAGCTTCCCTTCAGCTTGTATTATGTGGACATGCATATTATATATTATATATTTTATGTTATTTTGTTATTTGTTTGGTTTGATTCTACCTCTTAGAATAGTCAAGAGTGTCTGTGTTTCTAAACTACACCTTTAACAGCACATATCTGTAGATGTAATATATTACATTTATGATTTGTTCCAACTCTTGTGCCCATCTGTCTTGCTCAACTGTTCATTCTGTAGTCGTCTGGATTCACTATCTATAGTTTAGGAATAAGGGAATTGTATCTGTTGTAGAAATGACCTCAAAATCACATTGACTTGCTTTGCCCAGTGGTACAATATCAAATCAATACAAGCACGACTTTGAAGAGTTCTTTTCAAGACTGTCTATTGGCAAGTATTAATTATGTACAATAATGGGTTTTACTATTACATATTTCTGTATGTACATGATGCATTTCAATCATATTCACCCTTGTTAATCTCTCTTGCTCCTCTGTTCCTTCCCCTCATCTCATTCCTTAAAGAACTCTTTAGTGATAGAACATGCACTCAATCATTGCTATGGGTGACCCCGCAGTTGCCTTTTCAATAAAGCTGAGCGAGGCCAATGTCAATGGAGCTGTAAATGAATAAGATCCTAGAGACTAGGAGAGTGTCTCTCAAATGCCAAACGTGTAATGAGTCCAGGCTGGAGCATCTGAATTCAGCCAGTCTACTTGCTGACCACAAATGCATAAGGGAGCCTCCTAGTGATAAGTACTGAGTTGCCCTCACAGAATTCTGAGCTAAGTAAGACAGCATTTGATTATCTTTTCTTTGAGTCATGTTTTAGAGCAAAAACTAACGTGACTGAAGATTGCATAAACAAGTGAAATAATAATCATAAGAATTTTAACAATTTTAAAGAAGTTATGGATCAGAGAAAAAGATATCAATGACTTTATACTGAAGCATTTTAATACCTAGAAAGACGAAGTTGAAAGGAAAATTGTAGAACAATTGAGGTTCATAACGTTTGCATATAATTTTGTGAAGTCCACTTTTTTATTTACAGGAAATTACAAAGTTAGACTAAAGTAGCCTCTTGAAGAAAACGCCTTTTACTATCTCCTTTTGATCTCATGTGAGTGATATTAATAACCCAAATATATCTCCAGAACAGTGATTGTGTGGGATATATAATACTCACCTTAGCCAAAAGTGGCAGGGGTGGCAGGTCAACCCCGGAGAAGTGACACTGTATATGTCAGTTTGTAAAGTGAATATTGCCAAATTTAAGTAAATTTGCAAGTTGTATGAATGAGTAAAGGTTTGGAGGCTTGCAAGAATCCTGAAGAGTAGTCTACACATGGTAGCAATTATTTCTGTCTTTTTTATTTATCCTTAAATTCAGCATAATACCTGGCATATAGGAGGTGCTAAATGAATTTTTAAGAAAACTGTTACTCATGTACTTATTTGGGGGATGCCAATAAAAAATGGTGTTTTCTAGAACATGGTTCTACTCAGCCTGGCAATAAGCATGCATTTTCCTCACTTGATGTACTTGTTACTGGGACATCTTAGGCCAAGATACATCTGTGTATTTTTAGAATACATCTGTTCTGTTTTCAAATGGTGAATTTAATGAGCTTTAGGTTTGGCATAATTCTTGTATTCCCCATGATCTCTCAAAGCTGGCAAAAT